CATTCATGATATCACTTTTTTCTTTCACAGTGGTATACATTTATCTTCCCGGAACCAACAATGCCATTCACACATCAGTCTCACATCATTCAGGTTCAAAGCAAAAGGTATATTACATCAAGCCTGCACTTCCATCACGTAAACAATCCACTTAAGGCTAACAGAAACTAACAGGCTTCTCATTGATTTACAACTTAGAGACCTTCCTGCTACATCTTATGCCATTATTTCACTATGATGCCTCGTGCAAAGTTCAAAGTAAGGCTGATAATGGTTTAATTACTGCGCTGTTAAGTAATGTGTTAAAGATTTCTGTTACTTTCAGCTGCTTTGTCTCTGAAATTTAATGAGATTTTCTGTGTAATCCCATTTCATCTGGATCAACCACAAAAACCTCAGTTTCTACAGAAATAATCTGAAACCTATGTGAACTATAACCTCACGCCCACAGCCAAGCCAGTCGCTTCAATCTTGCAGTGGTTGGTTGTATAAAAGGTCACAAAAAGAATTTAAACATCCAAAACTACATACGTTCAGCTGCAGTGTGAGTAATTTTCCACCGCTCGAGGAAAAAAAATAAACATAAAAATGACCATGTCCTACAGGTCGAACAAAAACATACCGCATGCAGGGTTGAATTCCTACAACATTACATACTTTACTTTTTTGTCCCTAAAAAAAGAGAGAGAGAGAGAGAGAGAGAGTGAGAGAGGGGAAGACTGAGATCAGGTTTCAACACCCAGTCTAAGTTTACATTTACACCCCATGGCTTTGTGACCCTACTCTCATTTATAACGCTACCCTTCTGCTATTTGCTTCCATCTTTGGTTTCTGGCTTTCTTTCTTCTTTATACTTCCTGCAAACAACACTTACTCAGGCTACAGTCCAAGCCGCCACCTGTATGCAACCATTACCAAATATTTGTATTGCCACATGCTAGCTGCCGATTGGGATCAACAGGTGTTTATGCAAGCACCTCTGGGCTAAGTCCCTCATCTCTCTGCATGCATTACGCCTACATAATTATACCCAAATATCTGAGTGCGTGCTGCTGTCAGGTCAGGCTCTGTGGATGTAGCTGGGGTTGAGCCAGGTCAGCAGCCCCAAGCATGGCATCCTCCAGCAGTGGCAACAACAGCACACAGAGAGGCCAGTGTGCTCCCACCATCTGACCAACCTCACAGCCTAAGTGCCTCAGTTTCAGCTCCAACACAAAACACCAGTGTCTAGTTTCCCTTTAAATAAAACATACCCCACTCATTAGCTAAAAAGCCCCCCCACCCCTCCCTCCCTCCTTGTGCATAATTGAGCGCTAGGTATCAATTTAAGGCAATGAAGTGAGGTTAGAGCAGGACAGTACTATGTTTTTTTTAATTGTTTTGATTTGTTTCAACCAACAACCAAAGCATGAGTAAGTAAGGTACAACACAGCAATTTAATATGGTGATAACAGTAGTTAGGGTTTAGGGTTGTTTCTTTCCAGTCCTCAGTATCTATTACAAGCTTATCAGTCAGCTGTCAACTCAGATATTGCTTATTATCTCCCACTGTTACCTAACATTCATGAACAGTAATAATAATGTCTATTAATAAGAAGCTGCTAACATTAACGCAGATAAAACCTCATCATATTACAAACTAAGGAAAACTATGGCATTTTAAAGGTTAAGGGTATAGATTACGAATTACATCTAATTTACACACACACATACATATATAATACATTTATTAAGTATTACAAAATAAATAAGTAGCGATATAAGCAGCCTAGATGGGCTTTGCTAAATACCACCAGATCCTACTATTGACCTCACCTCCCAGTAATAAAACTGAACTGAGACCAGCTGTAGCTTATTCGTGGACACTTTAACTTCCCACAGACACAAAAAACAACTTGTACAACAGCAACAAGAGGTCTGACTGTAAGGTGTCACTGTCATACAGGTATTCTGCGAACATTTTCACTAATAAGCCAACAGGTTAACAGCTGACAACCGAAACTGAGCAGCCACGGCGATACTGGATGCACCTGCTGCCACCCTAAACTACCCTCAACGTACCTGCCGATTCCCGCTTCCTTCGCGGTCCTCAAACTGTAGCTTTACTCCTGGTTTGTTGTCTTCAGTGGGTTTCCTCTTCGTTTATCAGTGATAGTTACGCTAACTAACTAACTAACAAGGACGGCTCACCTGTATATGGTTAGCTGGCGTGTCTCGCAACCTCTGGTAATGAGCTTTCCTTTTCCTCCGTCCGCACTCAGCTTACCTTATTCCCTGGAGAGAGAAGCGGATGAAAGGTAACGGAGGACCAAGGTGGCCAATTAGACGTGGCGGGAGGCGGGCGAGGTGGAAATGCACGACATCCTATTGGTCAGAACACATTAATGGCGGAACAGTGGAAAAGTTAATTTCCCTGTATTGTTTTCATTTATAAAAAAAGAGAGAGAGAGACAGACAGACAGACAGAACGAAAGAAAGAAAGAGAAAGAGGCGCAAGAAAGCTGAAGCTAAACTTCAAATATAAAACGATTTTGAAAATAAAATTATCTGTAAGAAGCGACAAATGTTTAAAATGTGGCTAAATAATAAAAATAAAATGTTGCAAGTTGCCTTTACAAAGAGTTAATGTTCTCAGGCCAGAGCAATGTGGATTGAAAGGAGCTAATCATTTCTAAGAGGCTCTGCCATGCAAAGCTATATAAACTACTTTTGTTTCATGCACAGAAAGATTAACTAGGCACCTTTTTTTAAATCTTACTGAAAGACATGAATTACTGAGGCCAAACAATTTGGGTGGTTTGGGATGTCATGAGCTCACTGTGAAGATATTCAGGGAAAGTCAGGTTACTCTGATGTCGTTTGTTACTGAGTCACAAACACTGTATGATCTCAGATTGCATTAGTTACTGTAAGCTCCATAAAGGCATATTCATGGACATGTAAAGGTATATTTAGTTCATGGACCCCATTCAGCATAGTTTAATTTTATAAACTATCTTCAAGCTAACTCTACAGTCAATATTTTTTCCTTAAACTCTACATTGTTCTGTCTGTTCCTTTAAACTCCCTGATTAAAGATTAAATGAAGCACTTGGGGTGTCTCTTTTTAGTTATCCATCACCTCTGTGCATGTCACATGGTCTGACTAACAATCAACTGAAGTGGCAATCCACTGATAATATAGCAAAAAAAGGACAGGATAACAGCAATGACAATAGCAACTAATGGCCACTTGGTGGCAATTCATTCACTGTGGAATGAAGCCTAGGCTTTGTCCTGGGTCAGCAGCCATCTGTGGTGTACACATCACTACATAGGGTTGATAAAATAATGTCACACTGTGTAAAAAGAGACTAGAGCTGGATAATTCAAATACAGCTTCATATGTGGTTCACCACTCTCTGATTACACACCATGACGGTTCATTATCACTGCTTAATGCAAAGTATTTTCACTAGATGTGGGAGTCACCAGTCACCCCACAAAATATGACCAGAATACGTCACTCACAATATGATATCATTGTGATTTTTATTTTTATTTTTTACATTTTCCAATATCCTGAGTGTTGCAACAACATATACTGCTATTTATAACTCTTTTTCAACTGCAAGTTATGTCCTCAAAGTTAAACTATATCTGTTTTATCCAATAAGCTCAAGTTATCTCACGTCGGGTATGATTTTTTGCTGCAGAGAGAAATTGTCAAGCATACCAGCACCGAGTCGAATCTCCTTGAGTTGTGCTAATTGACAAAGACTCATCCAGACTGATGGCAACATGTTGCCAATCTGTCTGCCTTTGTAAATTACACAAGAGTTACTTCAAACTGCAAGTGTTTGCAGAAAGGTTTCCTCCTATCAAGAGAGATGGGTACTTTTACTTTGTAATGTATATTGTGACTCCAGGACCTAACTTGTGTGTATTTGTATTTATTTAGGGTGTTTTATCTTTTTCATTCTAGCAAGATTTGCCATTCTGATATTGAGTTTGGAAACAACAACAAACAATAATTGCAAGAGTTCATTATGCTTTACTACCACAGACAACTTTTTTAGACTGTGTTTCTTGAGATTGCACAAGGAAGATTACCTTATTTCTAAATATGCAAACTGTTTTAAGGGGGGAAACACTTCAGTCTAGATGGGTGTTAGTCCCATTTTAGTTTGCAAGCCACATACAGTATCATTTGATCTCATTTAGCTCAAGCCACTAAAGACCACTGCATAATTACATTTCCAAAATGTTCCTTTCCTGTGTAAAGAAGTACACAGATATTCTGAAAACATTTGCATTTAGTGAATCATCCAGACTTTTAACAAACAGACTGAGATGTCTGGAAAAAATAGGAACAATTTCAACAATGGTCTCAGTTTTTCCACATTCAGTCAGCGTGTCATCGCAGAGAAATGCGTCCGTAGGGCCCCTCAGCTTATAAATATTACTTCAGTGTGGGATAGTAAGGCCATGGGTATCATGGACATCAGCAAAAATGCTGTTAAATTGACAATGACTCAGACATTTGGCTTCGACTAAATTAACAGCTCCGATCACCACCTTTATGATGTGCTTGATTTTTTGCATCATGATGGGTTCCTGGTGAAAAATATGTCAAAAAGTCCACTAAAATAAGCCCTCATTCCCTGCAAGAATGCACTCTTTAGAGAAGGCAGTTCTGTTTTGTGCTTGTTTAGCTGATGCTCGCTTCATTAAGTACACCTGTTCAACTGCTTGTTGACCTGGCAACAGCGTGTGGTCCAGGAGGACCTGCCAAGGTTCAAATGGAGCATCAGAAAAGGAAAGCAAGGTCATTTATTTTAGGGACTTTGAACAGAGCATGGTCGTTGATGCCAGATGAATTAAGAGTTCCGAAGGCAAAACATGAAAGAGAAATTTATAAATTGTTAAGACACAAAACACATCAGTTATTTTAAACTACATCAAGTAGAAAATCTAAAGCTGATGGAAAGGAAAAAAAGAAAAGAGACAGCACTCTATTAAACATATCCATATATATTTTATTCTCAATACGGCAAAATACAAAGAATATTCAGGACAGACTTTTATTAGTCACAATTAATACTCACTTCACAAGAATGCTTTTAAATTACATTACCTAAGTTTGAAGATCAAACTTCAATGAGTACCTTTAATCATATTGCATCCATCATATATAGTATCTCTATCATCAGTTCTCTTAAAACTAATCCAATTTAGATTATTGTACATAGTGTATGCTGCTGGTCTCGGCTCTGAGACAACTTCTAGAAAAAAAGGTGTTATACAACTTACTGTATAAACTGCTACAACTGGTTTTGATGTGTAGAGAAATACCTCTGTTTCAAAAGACATGTTGGACCAATTGTTCAAAAGGGACACATAGTAAATATACCTCTCTCTGAGGAAGAAACAGACATGGTTTTACAGAACAGACTGTACACATGCCATCCATCCATCCCATGAGATCAACAATATACACTTCATGAAAAAGTACACAGCTCCATATCAAATACAGAGAAGACAAAATATTCGCACTTGGATCGAGAGACGTTAATGATTATGCGGCGACCGTGATACTGAGACAGTGAAGCAGAAGACAAAGAATACCAGCACAGTTAGAAAAAGGACTGAGAAAGCATTTGATATACAGAGTTAACAGACTAGGAGTGTAATCTGTAACCACTTGGAAGAAGGAAAAAAAAATCCCAAAGGGAAAAAAAATGTGCATAAAGTATCTCACAAGTATATTTACAGCATTTTTAAATTTAATAAAAATGTCAACCTGTAGTAGAAATTCACCCTTAAAGAAATGTTATATTTACAATTTATACATTTGTATTTAAATAGAAACATGCAAGTGTTAACATTTTCCTACTGAATGAAAAAAACAAAACAAAAAAAACCCTCATCTTACCCTGGATTCTTTCAAGTTAGAATTAATATTAATTACTAATTACAATGAAATCTCATCCTGAACAACCCCGTTACATTTACACCTTCCTATTTCATAAAACGGTGCTCATTAAAAAGGCAAAATAGGAAAGAAACATTAAGCAAAAGGGGCAGAAAAATAAATAAGTATGAGTAGCAAATCGTTAAAAATTTTCTCTAATGCTAAATTTTTATTTTTTTCGTTTTAGGATATTTTTTTTAATTCATTTCTTTTTTACATTTGAGTACAAGATAGTGTAGGGAACACAAGGCGCTGACCTCTACTTACAAAGTGTACCAGTGTATGAAGACATTGACTGGGCTGGCAAAACCCACAGAGGAATTCCTATGAGAAAAGTGGCCTCCAGCTTTAAGTAGAAAATGGCTAAAGCCATCTGTGTTTGGTTATAAAATCAGATCTATACACACACATCCATGCACCCGCACATGAACGCACACACACACACAGCCAAGCTCGCATACTAAACCAGTACACAAAATTGCAATAGCTAAAGGCATTGGATTTGAGTTCAACAGGTTTCTCACTGAGGTGGGAAAAAGAAAGTGGGGGACAGAGGAATCCCAAACATAAAAATATAATTATTTTTTCCACAGAAACAGTTTTTTCTTTTTTTGTAAAAATCCTGCATAGATTAAAATAATACCTCCTATGACTTGCTTTTTTTTTTTTTTCAAGTGTAAGAGAAAATAACAGTATCCCTTCCTAAAACAAAGGCCAGGGAGCCAGTAAAAGAAAGAAAATGACAAGAAAAGAACAAGAAAAAAAGTAAGGGTCAAACCTGGGCCAAACAGCATTTTGTTTAGTCTTGACATGCAGGGGGAAAAATAAATTAAAAAAGGCATTATAGATCTTTCTGGCACGTTCTTGTCCAGCCAAAACAAAATGAATGCCATCTGGTCCAGGCTTTAGTATTTCCAGCATATTTTGATAGAAAGTGGGCTTGAAACAACCAAAATGGACAGTTCATGTTCAGAAGTGAATTACTGTAAAATCCAAATGCCAACTTAAAAATCAACGCAATGTTAACATACTGCGCCAGCTACTATCTTGTAATACAAGTGCGATTACAGTTTGACAACTTTAAATAGGAACATATACAAATACTTGTTCTTATAACCTCTGTTGTAACCCTGCTTTATGCGTCTGACATGTTATACTTTTGCTTGGCTAGAAGGAAGAAAAAGAAACTGGTTGGTATATAAATAAAATCTATATTGGTTTTTATACTTTTTCTTGAAATATATAATCATAGATTTAAAACTCTGCTGTATAAATACAACACTGATCATCTGCATCGCTGATGAGTTCCATTCCCCAGACGACATATTTCCCTTCAAATAAATTAGCTTCTGTTCAGCCAAATTAGCGGCAACTCAGACCCAGTTTTTATAAAATGTACTGTGACTGCATTGGATGTGGACATGATCTTCAATACTTAAACACTCCCTGCTGTTCCCTAGAAAAAAAGAATAACACTGATTTGGAAACGGCTCGTCCTCTAGGAAATTTTTGAATGAACAATGCCGCTACGAGTGGGATAACATTTCAAACAAAGACCCCGAATTGTGAAGCTTCAAAGAGGCGGAAAATCTCAACGTTTGCCATCATCAATCTTGCTGAGGTCTCCCGCTAGCGACCCCTGGAGGCCATGTGAAGCGTTTAATTTATTAGAAAGGGCAATCACATTTCATGATTCTGAAAAATGAAATGGCACTTTTTGAGCCAAGTACACCGATCAACAGATGTCCTTAGGGATCATTAATAAATATGTGTGTGCCCCACGAAATCTGCTGTGCACAGTAGCCCTTCCTTCAGTACTTAAATCTTCAGTGGGATTCTTCAAGGTTTAATTTGTGGTGACCAACACCATCTTTGCAAATACATAAAAAAAACAACAGAAAAAAAACAAAAAAAAAAAACACAAACCCAGTAAATGCTGCAAGAATAACTGCTGAAACAACTGTTAAGTGTTAAAAAAACAAAAAAGTAAAAACTGTGAAAAGAAAAGGAAAATAATTGAATCAGATATGACCGGTGACTATTTTCCTGTAGCTGACATACAAGGCACAGAAATGATAAAGAGAAACCTTCATTTTTAAAGCACCTTTGGTGTTCATGGGAGGTACTTTGGTGAAACAAAGACAAATAAAAAGTTCAAAGCCAAAGTAGCCTAAAAACCAAAGCAGAGTTTTAGTGTATTCATAATAAATAATTCACCCAGTGCTTCCATGCTGAAGAGATTAAAAACATGGCCTTCGAAGATTTCTTAAGAATGCCGATATATGTGTGAAGCCAGGCGATAAGCTCTTCTGACTCCTGCTGCAGTTTGGATGCTTCTCCCTGTGTGGTGCCGTCGAAGGTGAGAGATGCTCTAAATTGCTCAGTGTTGGTATTTTTGTCTTGTTTTTTTGTTTTTTTTTGTTTTTTGGCAAGCTGGTGTAGGAAATGGACACAGTGTTGGAGATATGTCTGAGAAGTTCATCACACGTGTGTGTAAATGGAGGACCAGAGGAGGGTTGTGTTTGTGTGTCTGTCTTTTTTGAGGGCATGCGTGCGTGCGCTTGTGTGTCTGTCTCTGAGCAGATGTTGCCGAACACAAGAGGCTGAGGTGTGGGTGTGTGGAAAAGCAGCTTGCAGGGAGTGAGTCCTCGCTAGGGACTAACTTTTGCGTCCAAGCGCAGCCAGTGGAGGCCCTGCCGAGTGTAACGCACCAGTTCTGTCATGCTGCTGGTGTTGAAAATCAGAGGTCCCATAACTTTGTCCAACTCTGTGAAGAAGTCTGGAAAAGAGGGAGAAAGAAAGCGAGTTAAAGACTGGTTAATAAAATGACAGAAGACTGATAAATTAGGTCCTATTACCAACCAGACCACACAGAGTTAAGTGCATTCAAAGGTTTTAATGTACACCGATTGTAGAGACAAAAAACATTTTCACAATTTGTCACATTTGTCAACATGTGTGACGGGAAAAACCAGCCAAAGGACACAGACTGAGAATCCCAGCTGCACACAAAAACAGCCAAGCAATGAGGCAATCAAGAACAGCCCGACGTTTAAATGTTTCCAATGTTTGTTATCTTCACTCTCCACAAATATCTCAATACTAAGTCAAAAAAAAAAGGGGGGGGGGAGAAACCTGATTTATTGAAGATTTAATCTGAGGCATAAACTGCAAGAAAAAAGACAAACTATTTGGCCTCAAATCCTCGTCCAGCAAACCTCTCAACTATGAGGGGAAAACCCCAAACTCAGCGCGTGCGCACACACACGTGGGGGTGAAAACTGGCCAGACAGCCAGGGAAAATTGTGCACTTAGTGATGCTGCTGACTTTTCCATCTTTAGATTGTGGCGATAACGTTGTGTGGGCTGTGGACGATCGAGGGTTTCTTGTAAACGCAGTAGAGTTTTTAGTCAGAAGTTCAGTCAATCACAAACATGCTTCGAGCTATAAAATTTGCATTATTACTATATTGCAATGATTCAAATTCAAAAAACAGTTTGACATCTGTAAGTAAAAAAAGATGAAAACACATTTTATTTATCGGTAGATAAATAAAATCCGTTTTTGCACATTAATCTAGAACACAGATGTTAGATTGTGGGCCAGATACAGCCCACTTTGATCTTAAGTGGGTCAGAACAGGGAAACTCCCCTTTCCATCATTGTAAAGAACTTTAACTACACATTTACTCTCTGTTATCTTAATATATTCAGTTCTTTTTAAAGTTGCTTAGATAGCACCAATTCACAACAGTCACTCATATTATATTAAAATATGTACTATAAAGTAATATAAGAAAAAGAAGTGCAATCTGAAGAAATGTTGCTCTAGTAAATGACACATCTGTTGGCACGACATAAGTGTTCTGGTAGCTCATTGCCAAGACTCCTGTATATTTATAAAATATATAAAAGCTCTAAAATAGAGATGAGAGGAAAGAAACGTTGAAAAAGAGGCATGCTAAGATCGTCTGATAGCAAATTAGTCCTATTTGAAGCTGTTTTTAAACTTGGAAAGAGCCAAAAAAAAAACCCCACAAAAAAACAAAAACTAAAACTAACAGTACATTAACCATTTAAAAAAAAACAAAAAAAACTATCAGCTTTTTTACTTTAAATAAATAACAGGAAAACAGACCGAACAAACTCATTGCCTGGTAAACAGATCTCAAGGCCTACTCTGTGACAGGAAAAACACTTCATTACCAAAACATTTCTGCAACCAAGGCAAATAAAACCTTCAAATGAGTCATAAAATGCAGCTGGGGAAAAAAATTCAACAAAAAATGGTCTGCATGCTCGATCAGCCAACCTGCTGCCCATTTGTATAGATCCATACTCAAATCTCTTTACACAGTGGGTTCAAATACTGCTCTATGAAAAACCTTACTGCTGCTGCTGAGCTATTAAAGATGTAGAAAATAGCAGCTCAGGATATATAGCTCTAAATCCCATCTGTGTTTGCTTTTAAACATAAATTTAAAAGTCCAGAACAAAGACCATATGTCTCTTCCTTTTAACTAACAAGTAAATCCTTGTGTCGTATACCTTTTTGCTCTTTAGATAGTTGCTCAGCCTGGTCCCAGACCTCGGTGGCGTACAGGAAGTTGGAGGTGACCTGGACATAACTGGCAGCCATCTGGTGGATCCGCTGAGGTATGGTCACAGACGAGCTAGTGCTGCTGGTACTGCTGACTGCTGAGTAGCCACCCGCTGTGCCCGGTGAGAGTTTGGGAGATACTGGAGAGGGCATACCTGCCGTCTTACTGCATCAGGAAACAGAAATAAGCAGACATGGCAATGAGTTTCCTGGCACTGTGAGGGAGAATCTGGGAGTCACTTGACAGAACAGCAAATAAGAGCCTCTCCTTTACTTTATACATCAAAGGATGTAAGAGAGGATGTGACTTACTTTCCCATTCCAGGAGAGGGAGCTTGGGTGTTGCTCAAAGAGTTCTGGCAAATGAAATAAGAAGAACATTATGTACACACAGAGGAAGCATGTTACATATTCACAGAGAAAAACGTCTTTCATGGAATTTTACTGCACGTCTTTGGTTTTGAAGGTCTGCCAAGGAAATAAAGTTAATAATAAAAAGTACCTTTAGGTGTTCGGTGAGTGTTTTAGAGTATTTTAGAGCGCTGTCTTTCCTCAACTTGAACAGCCGCAGGTAGAGAAGAGACTGGCATCGCAGGCTGGAAGCAAAAAAGGATAAATATTGATCTAAATTAAAGAAAGAAGCAACAAATATTTGAAAGGTGTGGAAAGTTTAAGTTACACGGCCAGGTAATGAGTACTTGGAGTTGACAGTTGAAGACAAGAGTCCACCACCTGATGTTGTTCAGTGTACTCACCACAGCACAGCTAGCCTCTTGTCTGCTGGAGTAGCATCTGGGGCCATGTAGCTTTTTAACTTCATAGTGTATCTGGATGCAGAGATAATCAAGAGCTCAAGTTTTTAGGAGAAAAGGATTGAAGCAAATTAAGCACCTCCTTAAATACTGTACTTTTTAAAGGAGCACTCCATCCACTAAGTATCAAAACCCATGCAACAGAGGCAGAGACTTGCTTGTCAAAGCCTGGTGCTCACATTACCCACAATGCAAATCAACCATTAGCGTGGTGTGTTATGCAACTTGTGCCTCATGCAGCCCTGAGGTGCTTGGCCTTTGGCACAGAGATACAGGTTTTGTTTTTTTTTGTTTTTTTGAACAACTACATCCTCATATGTAGTGGTTCTCACCAGTGGAGGTCTCCTTTAAAGTGTAATTCTGCTGACAGTGATAAACACAGCTATGGCTGCCCTTACTTGATAAGCTCCACCGTTTCAGCATACATGGGGAAAGGAGACTTTGCCTCTTGAGCGCTCTTCTCCAGCGCGTTACCACATTCAATGAAAGACACCACGGCATCCAGATAGAAAACCGCCTTGTCAAAACGGTCAAACTGCAAAGGAAATTAAATAAATAAATAAAGAGGACACATAGTGATTAAATACTACACACTCTTTTGAGACTGGGAGGACAAACTACATTCACATGACAATAATTTGACATGGTTTTGGCCAGTAACATTAGATAAGTGACATGGTTTGAATATGACCTGGTTGGGATTGCATAAACTAATTATATCACTGAAGTAATATTATGCTGATGTAGCTTATGATCCTGATTTTGTGTTTAGAGAGAAAAGAAGAAAACAGCAACTAAATAATTAAATTTTGAGTAAGAACAAGATAATCCAACAGAGATGGCTATTTTATAATGCAAGTGTACATAACAGATACCAAACGTGAAGCTAAACAGATCCACCTGCTCATCTACAGTGACCCGGTAATAAAAGCATTTTTATTACTATTTTTAAGGAAATCAGGCAGAGCTCAAACTAAAAGCAGCTTTGAAAACTAAGTAAAATTTCACAGTCACCACAAAAAAGTCACTGTGAAATCACTTTCTACATAAAAGGAAACATCTTATTATATGTAACATAAAGCACCATAGAAAATGTCATTTAATGTTTTAAAGTCCTCTCAATTACACCAGTCATTGGGGTCTTGCTCTTACCAGTGCATCTGCATTGTGTTTAAGTTTCTTGGCCTCCTGTAAGTAGTGATCTGCTGAATGGACCCTGAAAGAGAATAATGAGAAGGTTTAACAAATCAAATCATTTAAGTGTTCTTGACACTGTGGCGTGCTTTTTATATCCACTAAACATAGAAACTTTGAAAGAATGTCATAAAAAAAAGTGTCTTTTCTCTTGTGACAGCTTTTATCTCATTAAATCAAAATGTGAAGTGAAAAGGTATGAAAATAAGAAGCAAGACTATGTTGTTGCGTTACCACGGCATTAAAAAGGCAGCGATTCCCAGCAGAGAGCCTTTTAAAATGGAAATTAACATAACTTTTCTGGCATGCAGGCACATCTATTCATGACCTCCCCAACCTCCTGCAGCTTTATGCATCAAAGGCAACTCTAGATCCCCACAGCAGTTCTTTCTCTGTGCCCCGCTGAGGGGTTATCCACAGTGGAAAGAGCTCCTCTTACCTGTCCTCAAACACCAGCTTGGATCTCTGAGACTTGGAGCCGTCCGTGGAGAGCGGGGGCACAGCCAGCTGGTTATCGCAACCCTTTGAGGATTTCTCCTGCAGAGAAGTATGGGGAAAATAACATTTTAGGGAAAAAGCAGCTTTTTTTTTTTTTTTTAAAAAAACAGACTTGCAGAACAGGACAGAGTCACAACAAGTTAGAGGTTGGTCTTATACAAATGTAAAACAATCCCACCAAAAATCAGTGATTATGTTATAGTTGTAGATACACACTGCAAGCCATGACCTTGGCTACTCCCTTTCTACCCTCAACGACAACTTCCTCCCCACTCTATGCATGCTCTGGTATTTAAATTGCTCAGGGAAAAACACTGCACAACTGGCAAGATGTAAGTCTGCCCTATCTGCAACATTTGATAGGTATCAGTGATAACAAAGGCTTCTCATGCCTACCTTGCCGTCACGTGTGCTGCGCCCTTTTTCCTCTCCTTTTCTATGTTTGGAGGTGGAGCTGCCCTTGGTGCTGTGGCTCCCTTCTTTTCCACTTCCTGTCCCGCTGGACAATGACGTGGAGGACTGGCTGACTGTCCGCTTTCGACTGGGATGCTCTGCCTTAATTGTCCGCATGGAAGGAGAGGGGACTGGCTCCTCTTTCTTTTCCGAAGACCTTTTAGAACTGAGTGGGATTCAAATCAGTATTTCATTATGCATTGTGTCAAACTAGGCTGTGTACTCAACATAAAACATTAAAACTAAAAAGTTAAATATTAACATTTCATGTAATTATAAACAAAGAATGCAGATATGGAGCATAATGGTTAACAGGCACAGCTTGAAGGGATAATAAACTCACTACATTAAGCTGTTATGATGCTCATTAGAATTTACAGGGTTTATTTTGTCTTTTGTGTGATTATCGGAAAAGGCAAAATTAACTACTACTGTCACATTAGGCTCCTGGCTTACAGAGGGTTTACTGGTAATGATATTCAGGACAAAAGCTAAGATTACTCACTCTTTACTGCTGCTTTTATGATGGGATGTAGATTTATCCTCTAGCTTGATTCGCTTGGTCTCTGGCTTTGTGCCTTCCTCGTTAGTCTAAAGAAAGATGAGAGAGAAAAATAAAAAGCAGGGTGCATTAAAGAAAAAGTCAGATTTAATAATAGGTTACACGCCTCCAATTATTATCGGAAGACGCCAACTCATTGCAGGTATAGCTCAACTATGCCAGCTCATTGTTATCCTAAATGACTGTTACATTCCAAAATATCCAGTCACAAAGATTTTAATTCTCCATCTTTGGTAGTTGTGTGGCTATGATTAAAGTAAAATGCACAGTCATCTAACAGCGCTACATCCAGGTCTGGATCTCAACCAGAATGTAGTCAATTGTTCTTTGGCTCAAATGCACTTTCTTGCTTTAATGGAAATCTGTGTGTGCTATTCCAAGAGATGCTATACTGGGGGGGAAAAAAAAGACCTTAATAAGTGAAAGGGATACTCAATAACAAGCTTTTCTATTTTACTCTGCTTTCAAGTAGAAACACAATGCATTTCTTACAAAAAGCACTGAAATTTGCTCTACCTTGTGTTTCCTCTTGGCCTTGCTCGAGCTTTTCTCAGAGCTCTGTTTGCTGAAGTCTTTGCTGTCCCTGTCGAGAGAGTCTTCCCTCTCCACTTTTATCTCTGCAGGTTCCTTGTAGGGCCGCCCTGGGATTCTGGACAGCAAGCTGAGATCTATGGGAAACAGGAAGGAAAAGGGTAGGGTATACTTAATTTGGTTCAAAGTAAAGAAACCCATTTGGTTCAGTGCCCACTACACCTTGACATATTCTCTGGACTTTTTACAAGACTTGCGAGCAGTTTCGACTAACCTATCTTGACTAATAAAACTTGCTGCTGAGGCTGTCTCGCAGGGTAGCGGTCCTCGGGGTCACTGAGAGGAGACAGCAGCCCTCTCTCTTCCCCAGGTGAAAAAACGCACACGGGTGTCCTGATACTCTCTGTGTACTTGGGTGTCTGGGATGAGGACGGGATGCTGTCGTTTCCTTCGGAGTCTGATGATGAAAAGTCTGTGTCAACAAATTCACGAGATTTCTGAGAAGTCTTGGTTGCTGCCTTGGGCTTGCGCTGGGCTGCAGTGCTGGAGGGAGTAGTAGTGGGCCTCGGCGAGGATTTGGGTTCTTTTTTATTGCTTGGTTTGCGTGAACCCTTCGTAGCAGCTTTGGGCTGATGAGGAGGTATCTCTGGAGCCGGCTCACTCTCCACTCTCAGACCTCCCTTTGGTTCCTCTACCACAGGAGGCTTCTCTGATTTTTTAGGCTGCTTTTTACCCACTCGAATACGTGGATTTGTGCCACCCTCGCTCTGTGCGGGTGACTTTTGCCGGCCACGGCCACCTTCTGCACCTTTCTGGGCTGCCCGCAGGTCCCTGCTTGGGGTGGGTGCTGCTGAATCTTTTGACCCTCCTCCTTGGCTACTATAGCTGCGCCCTGAGCTGTTATCTCGGCCATCTTTCTTGAATTTGGGTGGGACGTTATTGTTGTCCACTGGAGATGAGGGTGAGAACTGCTTGGCTTTCTTGAACCAGTTGTCCAACTGCCACTTGTTTGCCATGGGTTTTTCAGGCTGAAGGGGCACAGAGGGGAGCACAGAATTAGGAAACAGTCTCACTGATTGAACTCCTAACAAAATATAAGAGTCTAGAAGAAAGTACCATATAAATATTTAATCCAAAAATAGAAGTGAACAGTGT